TCATCTAAAGACAAAGCAAGAAACTTGGAGCATGCAAGATGTCCATAAAAGCAAGGTTCAAAACAGTTTTAAAAAAATGGAAATCACAGCCGGGCAGTGGTGGCGCACGCCTTTAATCCCAGCACTCGGGAGGCAGAGGCAGGTGGATCTCTGTAGGTTCGAGGCCAGGCTGGACCGACAACCTCCAAAACAATACAGAGAAATCCTGTCTCGTAAAAACAAAACAAAAAAAAATGGAAATCACTCACCAAATCATAGCCTGTTGATCTAGCAGAATGGTATGACTTGGTTTAACAAAATAATGTTGCAACTTGAAGAAATGTTGTGATCTAACACTACCTTGCAAAAAAACCAGGATACTAGTGCTAATCCTGGAGCCCTCCACATTCAGTTTCAAGGATACAGAAAAAAAAAAAAACATTGTTCCTATCGTAGGCTGGAGCCAGCAGGATGGCATAGCGGGTTGGGGCACCTGCCGCCGAGCCTGATGTGTGACCGCATGGTAGAAGGATTAAAAAGGACTATAGAAAGTTGCCCTCCTCCACACATGCACTGTGGCATGCCCCTGCTGCCCTGCCTCCAACACACACGCGCACACACACACACACACACACACACACACACACACACACACACACATAAACCCATGAGCCTATGCTCCACAAGAGTATGTAGATGTGTGGCACTACTGTAAATCTAGCCAAGGACCCACGGCGAGGGAGCTAACAGGCCCCACGAGTGAACCTACGACTATTGTTCTGCTAAGTGGACAGAGTAAAAACCGCCCTCAAATTTGCATCTTTATTAGTGCAGCTCTCCGACCTCACCAGTTTCTTTGTTCAGTCATTGGTGGTTGGTTCAGAGACTCACACCTTGCCAGCCTGAAGAGCCAAGGTCAGGAGCCACCACAGAACAGGGGGACGGGAAGACTGTGAGAGACAGAGGTTGGGGAGTTAGAGGGGGGCTGTCCCCTGCTCATGACAGGGCCAAGGAAGTCATGTGTGTCGCCGACACAGCGTCAAGTCAGTGAACGTTCATCATGGAGTGGAAAGGGCTTGCAAACCCACTCCCAGCCTTACCCCAGCCGTGGACAGCTGTTGGCTTCTTGGACAGTTGACGATCAGCCACGTTCCTGTGGATGGCCCCACACCCGGCAGTCTGTGGGCGCCCCAAATTAGAGTCAAAGGGAAGGACATGAAGTTGGGTGGGATGATGGGGTTAGATCTAGAAGGAGTTAGGGGAGAAGGTCTCGTCCCTGTGTGACATTCTCAAAGAGTTAACAAAATTATTACTTAGAGAAATCTTGGACTATAGCCTCGTTGTGGACTTTGTTCTGCGGGCTTTCTAAACCCTTCCTCTTCCTCAATGACTGTGTGGGTCTCACCCTCGTGCGTGCAGATTTACAACGCGTGCAGCTGCCCACGCAGTTTAGAACCGTGTGGTTCCAACCCTTTTCGTTCTCCCGGAGGAAGAGTTAGAAAAGGCATTTGTGCTTACTCCTCTGGCTTGAAGCTTTTAAAGCTGTGGTTTCAGATGATCAGACTGAGAGGGCTAACAGGGCTTTCACACCTTCCTTCAAATACCAGCAGGGCACACCTGAAACAGCAGGAGGCGTACCAGACACACCTAACGCTTTTGTTGAGAGCGCTGTGAGGCCCTGAGCCCCGCCACGCATGCACAGCTAGTCCTGGCTTTGAATGTAAGGAACTTGCAGGAAAAGGAGAGAAGCAGAGAACCTTAACTCATTCACTCCACAAGGCAGTGCCAATCATCTGCCAGACCCTGACCTGGGTGCCAATCACGCCACGGCCTCAACTTACAAAACGCACAAAATAATTCATTCCTGCCAAATGCTCTGAGAAAGCGCTGGCAAACATAGAGGGCACAGAGGACCCAGAGAGGGCGTGGCTCCCTGAGAGGGTGTAGCATCCCAGGGAGGGCGTGGCTTTCTAGATCAGCTTCCAAGTAAAGAGGTGGGAAACGAAGAATTAGGCCCTGTTGAGATTCTCTTTACATATATATTTATATATTTATATGTGTATGTGTGTATGTGTGTGTGTGCATGCCTGTGTTTATATGTGTGTGCATGTGTATATGCATATGTGTACATGCATGTATGTACATGCATACGTATGTGCATGTATGTGCATGCATGTCTGTATTTGTGTGTATATGCATGTGTGTACATGCATACCTGTATGCATGTGCATTCCTGTGTGTGTGTGTGCGTGTGTGTGTGTGTGTGTGTGTGTGTGTACGTACTTTGGGTGTTGCTTTAGGGTCTCTCACGGAGACCTGTGGCTCACGGCTTAGACTGGGCTACCTGGCCAGTGAGTTCCAGCAATCCTTTCAACTAGATTACAGGTGTGCTTCACCACGTCTGACTTTTATTTTTAATTTATTTTTATTTTTAAACACAATTCTTTATTCATTCTCTGGGAATTCCCAGTCCCTCCATATCCACCCCTCACCCCTGCAGCATGCCCCCCAAAACAATTCCCCCAAATTAATTAAAAGCAAAACAAAACCCTCGCTCCTCTATCTCTCCAACGCCTCTCCATCCATCCTAGTGTCATCAGGAGCTGTGTTGTCACACAGTGTACCCTTTTGTCCAATCAGCCCCATCCACAAAATGTTCATAGCCATGACTCATTGGTCTGGCCCGAGGCCTCTGGCACACCATCGTCACTGGACCCTAGTCGAAACTCCCCTCAGACATCCCACTGCCGCCCCTAGTCATGGAGATTCTGTGGCTACCATTCTGCAGGACCAGTCCCTTCACACACTCCAGCACAGATGGGGCAGGTGCTAGGGTGGGCCACCCCATGGCCCAGGATGTGGGTCTGGGTGGCATCTGAGCTGGTCCAGGCCACTGGGACCCCTCTCAGGTAAAGGGGCAGGGCCAGCTCTCCTAGGTCCATGCCAGGGGGGGGCAACTCTGCCACACCCATGGTGAGGACTGTGGCCAGCTCTCCTGAGTATTGGGTGGGGGAGTTAAGGGGGAGCAGCTCTCCCATGTGGGGCGGGGCTGGCTCTCTTGCTGCGGAATCCAGTGAAGGGTGGGATGGTTCAGCAAGGCCCTTGAACCTCAACAAACATGGTCCCCATGACCCCCGGAGGTGACACAGGCCATGGGCATCAACCCGGACTGCAGCAGGAGCCTGGACTCAGACATGGTCCTCTGCAGCAGCTCGGGGCTCGAGGCAGGAAGGCCCACAGACACCAACATGGCCTCAGGTAGCTGTCCAGACCCTGGCATCCCCACAGCTCCTGGTGACAACACAAACCACAACTGTGCCTGGCTTTTTAAGTGGGTTCTGGGGACCGAACTCAGGCCCTCATGCTTTCGTGACAAGTGTAAACTGAACAATCTCTCCAGATGTCAATACTCTTGTTTCTAATTCATTCTCTCTTGAACACCATGGAACTAGGGTAAACAATATTTCTCAGCAAAGCCGACAGCAACCATCTCACCAGATAATGGCAAACATGGACAGACAGCAGACACAACACCAACATTCCATGGCTGCCCACCAGGGACAAATGCTAATCTTGCCTTTTTGATTATTTCTTTCTTAGCAATGATAGTTTTTTTCTTTTTTCCTGCCATCTAGCTTGGCTTGAGTTTGGCTCCTTGCATGGCAGTGGTAGAAAACAGCTTATGCAGAAAGGAAGACATGCTTTGTGATTTTTTTTTTTTTTGAGAATGGAAAAGGCCAAGCTGAGTCGTCTTTGAGGAACATGGAATGGTTAGCATCCTATTTTTATATAAAAATACCCATCTCCTCAAATTCTCCTGGACCCTTCCCTAGCCTAACACAGCAGGCTAGAGAAGCTGTGTGTTGACAGCCCCGTCACAGACAAGCACTGCGTCACCGTGAGTTCTCACAGAGAAGTCCCCAGTCTACTCACAACTAATATCGGACTTGAAAGGAAAAGCCAGCCTCAACCCATCCCAAAGGTGGCCCCACTGATACAAAACCACTGGCCTTGAAATTCTCCCAGTAAAGTTTCAGGAAAACAAGACCTGATTCTGGAATATGCAGGACTTTGGTTATCTGTGTGACATACACGTGCCTGAGCTCCCTCCTCAGAACAGGGAGGGCCAAGAGAGGCACCGATTTCTGGTGCCAACAGAGAGAAGTAAGGAGGGCGGGACCTTCGGGAGGCACGCCCATGAGTCCGGTACAGCAGCGTGTGCGGAGGGGGGTCCAGCTAAGTAAAAGGGGGACGCAGGCAGTGAGCAAACAGGAAAAGGACCACGCCTGCGGGAATTCGCACAGGCTCTCTTTGGCTGAGGCAGGAGCCCCGGGAAGCCCAGAGTCATCCCACAACACCACCAACGCAAGGGAGGCCTCCTGAAAAGGTCAGCCTGCTTAAAAACCCACCGACGACAAGCCTCTTGGGGACTTGTCAACGGCTGCAGCACCGATCTAAGTTTCCGTTCAGGTACTGGGCTGGATCCCGATGTCTCTGGATGAGGATTAGCTGACGTGGCCGGCTCAGGAGTCATGTCATAGATGAAGAATGTAACCAAAGCCCCGCATGACAAGATGCCCACATAGTGAAGCCGCTAAGAACGGAGGCGTCTGGGCAGTGAGTGTGGCCAGGGACCATCCTTCACTGGGGCGAGACGCACAGACAGAGACATGATTGCCGGTTCTAGCCCAATGACCAGCAGGCTCGCCCTTACACACCCTCTCGCCTTTCCATTTCCCCCTTTACCCTTTGTGCCCTGACCACACACAGTTAGGTTCTCCTACGTAGAAATGCAATCGCTTTTCAAGGTCAAGTGAAATTATGAATCTCCATTATTAAAATTATTGGGAAGCTAGATTCTGGGGCTTATTGGGTAGACATTTAAATTAAGTACAATAGCCAGAACTCACTGCAGCATATATGCACACACAAGAGAAAGAGACAGATAGAGAGAGAGAGAGAGAGAGAGAGAGAGAGAGAGAGAGAGAGAGAGAGAGAGAGATGAAGTTTAAGGGACTTACCAAGGATCATCCAAGGTGGTTTTGCTCTTGACTCAGGCTCTCGCTAGCCTCTCTACCTGCAGTTGACAAAAGGGACAGTGGGAAAATTCATTTTTAGAATAATCAATTAATATAATCTATAAGTGCATTCTACAGGGAAAAAAATCCATGACAACAAACCATCCCTTTGCTTCAAGAATACATGACCCATGTGCATTACCCCAACCCTTTCTCTGCTGCAGCAAGTATTTGGGATGCCACACCCCCAAATCAGCAAGGCTGATCACTAGCCCCAGTCAGCAGAGGCCTTTGAGTGACAGCACCTCCTAATGACAAGACCTGCTATCAGTTAAATAAGTGAACCACTAGTTAGCGACAGAACGGACAGCACCAAGTTAACTGCTAGCTGGCTAATGAACCGGTGTCCCCAGGAAGAACACCGTCAACCAGCAGTCACCATGACTTCAGTCTGCCGCCCTGGGAGCATCACTCCATGTCTAAGGAGTACTGCTCCTTGGTGAAGTGGGCCATTTTAAGCCAGTAAGTTCCACGGTGGGAAGCAATCAGAGATGGATGACTCTGACCCAGAGCTGGGAAGGGATAAGCCAGCTCTGAAACCCCCTCTCCTGCAAGTCCCACTGTCACCCCAGCCTCTTTAGGACACACAGCATCTCCTAAGCCAGAGGGCACAAACTTCTTGAGGGACGACAACGAACGGAACACGAGCTAGAATCAAACCACCGGCAGGAAGCTCTACCACGGACCATTGGGTCCTCCGAGTGTGTGTTCTCATTTATATGACTAGGGCCTGGATGGCATCTACCATCTAAGATTGATGACAATGCTAAATGCCGATTGCCTCCCGGGCACTCCACAAACAAAAGAGATTCTTTCAGACTCGGGACCGACTGAAAGTAGCGACGGGGACACAGACGTTAGCACGAGTGCTGTGCTCTTCAAAACCATGACTCCAGGACTGCTTCCAAACAGCATCTCGCCAGGCAGTGGTGGCATACGCCTTTAATCCCAGCACTCGGGAGGCAGAGGCAGGCAGATCTCTGTGAGTTTGAGTCTGGGCTGGACCGACAGCCTCCAAAACAATACAGAGAAACCCTGTCTCGTAAAACAAACAAACAAACAAGCAGCATCTCTTCTCTAAAGGTTCCTTTGTTTCATACGTGCTCAGAAACTTCTCTGGAATTGCCTTCAGCATCAGTGTCCTTGCCGGTCCCTTTACTGAATCTGTGGTATCGAGACGGGCATCCTTTTGGTCACACATGAAGAATGAAGTCCCCCAGGCTGGCCTCCACTCCTGTCCCCTGATCTATTGGCTGCCACCTACTGTCTCTCCATCTTCTGCATTCAGATCCCCATCGTCCCTTGGCCCGGCAGCACCACTCTGGTTTCCAGGGCTCCTCAAGGGTCCTGGGGGGACTCTCAGAGCCTGGTTTCCATGATCCATGCAGACATAATCCCATACATCTGCCAAGCCTCGGCTTACACGTCAACACTTCCTGACTCTTCCCTGCCGCTGAGCTGTCCGGTGGCTAAGAACGTAGATGTGGGGGTCCAGACGGCACAGGTCAGGGCTGGAGAGCTCAGGGAAGCTGTCAGAGACCTCGTCACCTCGCCCTAGATCCTCCTCTGCCATGTGTCACTACCTTAGTGACCCAGGGCAGCTACCTCGCATTCCTGGGTCTCAGTTTCCTCCTCGGGCAATACGTACTTCCAAGGTTTATTTTTAAGATTAGGGAGAGCACTAGGAGAGTACCCAATAAATATTTGTCTAATAAAGTCCCAGGCCCTGGTGTCTTGGCAGGGTGACTAGGCACTCTTATTCAACCTTTTTTTTTTTTTTTTTTTTTTTTGCCTCTTGGTTTCTTTACTTGAAAACAAGAGTAAGAAAAACATCACTTACTTCCTAATGCTGGAATTAAACAAAATAATGTATGTGATTTGCTTAGTGTATAATGTATATAGAAACATAGAATTTCATCAAAATGGCATGCTTACACTCAGACATGGTGCCACATACCTCTAATCCTAGCGCTCGGGAGGTAGAAGCAGAGGGATCAAGAGACCAAGGCCAGCCTTAGCTACACAACACACTCAAAACCAGCCTGAGCTAAACGTGGCTCTGTCTCTGAAGCAAGAAAATAAAAACAAAAATGACATGTTAAAAACTAAGGACAAGCCGGGCGGTGGTGGCACACGCCTTTAATCCCAGCACTCAGGAGGCAGAGGCAGGCGGATCTCTGTGAGTTCCAGGCTGGGCTGGACCAATAGCCCCCAAAACAACACCGAGAAACCCTGTCTCATAAACCCCCCCCCAAAAAAAAAAGAAAAGAAAAAACTAAGGACAAGGGAAAACCTGTTCTTAACATGCCAAAAGATGACAGCCTAAACTGGAAATCCCCCCGGGAGAAACACTGCGTCTTTATTTTTTCTGCTTTTACAGTAAAGCAGCTTCAGCTGATAAGCAGCACGTGGAAGGGGACCTGGATCGTAAGTAAGAGACACAAGCTTGCAAAACCACGACTCCTAACACAGACAAGTGGACAAGCCACAGCATGCGAGACGGACACCAGCTCCTTCAGACCTGCTCGCTGGCTCTCAGTCTGACTGCAGTAGAATCCAGCAACAACTCTGCACAGGCATGTATCCTAAAGATGAGACCTCTGGTCATTCCAGAAACTTCCTAGTGTGCAGATTCTGACCAGTCTGCAGCCCTGGACACCGCCCATGTTCCACAGCATCCCAGGACATACATCCTCTCCTGCTGCAGCCTGACAACAAGCCCAGCTTTGCCTATGATGGTGTGTTCCCCCATAGTCTTTCTCGGTGAGACTTACCATGTTCCAAATGCCAAGGGTTTGATACAGTGCCAGGTATTAGGTAGTGAGGCAGTAAATGGTACCTTGGATTAAGATTGAAGCAATAATTTTATATTGCATGCAAATTCTAAAAGAGAACGCTTGTGTTTTGAAATATCAGAGGCCTCATCAGCAACCTAGGGAGGACTGTGTCTGTGGTTTTCCAAGCCGTACACCTTACAGAGCTATATGGACTAGAAATAAAGAGTAAAGAACGTGGCCGGGCGGTGGTGGCGCACACCTTTAATCCCAGCACTCGGGAGGCAGAGGCAGGCGGATCTCTGTGAGTTCGAGGCTGGGCTGGACCGACAGCCTCCAAAACAATACAGAGAAACCCTGTCTCGTAAAAACCAAAAAAAAAAAAAAAAAAAGAGTAAAGAATGTGATTAGAAACCTGATCGGCCCTGCACATTTATAGCTAGCAAGCACAATACTTGCCATCTGGGGGGTGGGGAAAAACAAGCTAATCAAGGACACAGTGTAAAACCAGCAGCGTGGCTGTCTGTCCTTCCCTCAGTGCCTTGCACTGGGTCTTGCCCTTAGCATGTGCAAACAGAAACGTGTGGTGGTTGCAGACAGAGGATTTTATTCTGCCAACTGTGACTGTAAACTGGATTAGAGTCTTTATCAAGAGACCTGGCCCACGCGATGGTCTGCGAAGCCTGTACGCAGCAGAGGCAAGGAGACGCTTTCGAGCAGGCAAGCTGGCTAGAAGCTAGCTCTAGCGCTCTGGCTTCGGAGCCAACCGTGAGGAAGGGAATGGACGTCCTCTGAAGAACTAAGGACAAGCATGGTGTCCAACTGACTTTTTGAGGGAACGTGAGGGACAACAGAGCCACCTTGAGATCAAGCCAACAGCATGGAGGGAGGGGGCGGAGTTTCTATACATCGGAGCCGACGCCAGAGGTCTCGGGTCACAACTAGCCTGGTGCAGCATTAGACCCCTGCCTGCCTTGGTGTCTCACACAGGTCAAATCAAGGCAATGCAAAGGGTCGTAGCATTTGCTTACAGTAAGCAACCTCGAGCCACTGATTTTAGATAGCTGGAAAGCAGTGACTATCCTTTCGTGAAGCAAGCTAGACAAACTTATTTTGAGCTTTGTTTAAAATTTCAATTAAGCTTGTTTAAGCAACGAGAACCAAAGACCCTTGACCTCCTCCTGGGCTGGCTGACCATTTATTAACCTTTTTACTCAATATTTTCCTGCAGTCAACATGGCTGGAGACAAAGGCAAGGCCAGGCATGCTTTCTGGGCTAAGGAACAATAAAAACAAAGTTTGTCTCTTCTAAGAGTCTCCGTGAACATACAACATAAATAACTAACATTTTAACAAGCATCATTTTTATTTGCAGGAGCTTTAAATGAAGGTAGCTTTGCCTAAGAATCTATCGCTGATATGGGAAGGAAAACCTATTTAGAACAAATGTACCACGGTAAAAAGGAGGCCTTGGAAGAGCGGCTGATGTTACAGTTTCTCAGAGTTCATCTACCAGGAAGAGAAAAACCCAGTATGAATTCTTTTCCTGGGGCCGCGATGTCCCGTGTCACGCTCTGAACACACGGCTACAGAAGAAACCCTCCATGCTAATGCCGCTCTAACCCTTTCTGCTTCTCCGACACTCGCACCAGGCCTGCGGTGACTCTGGGGCAAGGTTCTCTGAGAGTCACCAGAAACGTTTAAGGTCACTCGGAGTCTGTTTCAAGTTACCTGCAACTAGGGTAAGAGAGAGCACACATATTTTCTCCCCAAAATGGGTCTTTCCATGGCTGAAGCATTTCGGGCCAATTTTCATTAAATATTGCATGCACAAGTGACCAGCGGACAAACTGGAAATGATTATTCTGTAATTACATTTAGCTCTAACAGAAACAACCCATTAGGGCAATGGTCATGCAACAGGCCGAGACGGGCCATTTGAACTCTGAAAAGACCAGTTGGGGCGACCGCTGGGCCCTGTTCGCCAGAGGCCTTACAGGCTCCTTCGGCCTCCATGTTGCTAAAGGACGACATCTTCCTCAACATACTAAGAGGCTAAGCAACTCAAAGACATAGGACTTTCATGAACTGTGACCTCAGCAGGTGATGGGGAGAGGGTTTCATTTTTTTTTTTTTTTTTTTTTTTTTTTTTTTGGAGGCTGTCCTGGAACTCGCTCTGTAGACCAGCCCGGCCTTGAACTTACAGACATCCACCTGCCTCTGCC